TTATTTTTTAAATGAGGAAATTGAAGTACAGAGAAATTAAATTACTTGATTAAAGTCATGCATTTAGTAGAATACGGAACTGCAATATGAAGAACCCAAATATATTTAATACCAAATTTATGTTATCTTTGCTATACCACACGATCTAAGATACCTCTTGGCTTTGTGGGCATGAAAAAGACAACAGTTACCTTTTTATTTTTCAGCATGGTATATTTTTTAGGGTAAATGATACTAGCCACAACTTCAGAATATCCTCTCCTTCTCAGTGGCTTAACTTCGCAGAATTTTATTTCTCATTTAAATAGAGTCCAGTCGGGTGTGTCTAGTTGATAGGTGGCCTTTGATGTCATCATTTAGGGATTCAGGAATCTCTGTCTTACAGCTCTGTCCACCCCCTAGCCCTCAGTCTTCTCCAGGCAGCTGAAAGGGAGAAAAAGCAAAGAGATAAAGGGAAAGAGACAGCATGGAAGATACCTGAGGGAGTTTTTAAATTATTTTGTGTGGGGTGGAGGGGCGAGCTTAGAGGTGGGGCACGGCCTTTCCACTCTCATTCCATAGCCACACTCAACTTCAAGGGAGGCTGGGAAGTGTAGTAGAGCTGTGAATCTAGGAGGAAAGCAAAGTGGGTTCCAGGAGAGCTGACCGGTCTTGCCTTCATGCTTTGACACATGAACTTGTTTCCCCTTTTCCTTCTGATAAGTAAGTCTAGTTAGGAATTTTACTTTATTTCAATGAGTTAGCTTTTCATGTTGCTCTTTTAGGAAATAAAAAACCTGTCTGTAACAGGAAGACATCCCAGGGAATGTTAATCATGTCCTCTTTTGTTCAGAGTTGATGTAAAAATTCTACCAAATCATTTACTATTTTCGTTTTCTTGTATTTTAACTCTTCGATAAATAGTGGCTTGGCTGGGGCCTTTGTGGCTGGAACTGCCCTTCATTGCTTGTCTAGAGAGGCAGTAGAGCAAGGTGGTCAATAGTATAGACTACAGGATCTGGTTTCAAATCCCAGCTGTGTCACTCACAAGCTGCTTAACCATGGATGAGGTATTTGACCTTGCTATACCAAGAACACCCACCTGAGGGTGCTGTTACGGGGATTTAGTACATTAACATATTGAAAGCCGTCGATACACAATATAGGCACACATTAAGTGCCGTATAGGTGCTGGCTGTTATGTCTGCTTTTTCAGCTCCACTTTATTCTTCATTCAAAACTCAGTGCAGTGTCTCCTTCTTTGGAAAATTTTCTCTATGGCAGGCAGAATTCTGGTTTTTGTTTTGTTTTGTTTTTCCTTTCTGCTTCCAGGAAACGTTGAATTTAATGCATTGAATTATAAGGTCTGTCCATACATGTGTCTGTCTCAGGCATTAGATCTAAAGACAAGAACTTGGCCATTCTAAATTTGCCTGTATGTATTCCCATAGCCAGCGCAGCACAGCACAGTGTCGTACACATTGTAGGCAATCAGCTATTTGCTGATGTGAAGGAAACCTCGTTAACTAGAATACCCTATACATCAGAAAGTTCCATTTCCTTACCACACTGGAGAGCAAGGAGTTCACTGTATTAGCTTTTACTTTTCATTTTAGTTGACTTGGGTGACACTGGATTTAAGTGACAGATCACTGTGCCCTACCTGCCTTTTTACATTATCCAGTCCACCGAAACTGTCCCTCAGGGACCAGCAGCCTTTGTGCTAAGATTCTGATTTTACTTTGGCTGGCATGTATAGCTTCCCTTCTGTAGGGGTACATGTAGGAATGTGATAATTCAGTTTCTTACTTTGTGTTATCTTATCAGCATTAGTCTGTGCCATGCACCTTTCTTGTTACATTCATTCACCTTTTTCTTGCCTCACCATTCCCACCAGGCCTGTGATAGGAAAATTGTATGAGTATCCTTAGCTAATTGATAATATTGTTTTTGCATGTGTGAATTTTTAGTTTACATACATTATGGACCTTGTTGGTTTTTTCTCTATTTTTTAAACTGTTAATGTTAACATAACTTTAAGCTCACAGAAAACTTACAAGAGTGATACAAGGAACAATCATATTTGCCAGGATTCTGCATTATTTGGAAGGAAGAGAAAGTGTGTATTCATAGATATATATGTATATATACAAACAGTATTGTTATTTTGAACCCTTTGAGAGTTAAGTTGTAAACATCGTTACCCTCTACCCCTAAATACTTCCGTGCCTATTTCCTAAGAACGAGACATTCACTTAAGTATATACTGCCCAGTTAGCAAAATCAGGAGATGGAGTATCAATAAAATACTATTACATAATTTACAAATCTTATTCAAATTTTCCCAATAATGTCCTTTATGGGATTTGCCCCCCGTCTCTAGCATCTAATCCAGGATACCATCTTGCATGTAGCTTTTATGTCCTTTTAAATCTCTTTTAATCTCCAACTGTTGTTCAGCCTTTCTTTATTTTTCATGACGTTGACATTTGAAAGACCACAAGTAGTTATTTTGTGGACTGTCTTTCAATTGAGGTTTATCTGATGTTTCTTCATGATTAGATTTCCTTCTCCCTCCTCAGCAAGGTTTCTTTTTTTAAAAATACTGTTTTTAAACTCTCTTCATGTTGATACATCTGTATCCAGTTTGTTGATTCCACCTGCTGCACAGAATTCCCCAGTGCAGACTGCCTCTTGGAACAGATTGGCAGGGCTGCCAGGAAGGCAGTATCCGGCAGACCTTCCTTGGCATCAGGATGGTGTCTTTGCGGGGGCTGTGTGACATGGGACATGAGAACACCACTTTGACACATGTGCCCTGGGTCACCCTGCTTTAGCTGATGGTGGTAGGCCTCAGATGTTTGCTTCTTCAACTATTTCTGAGGCACACGGAGCTATTACGCTTTGCAAGATAAGGTAGCATAGGAAGTTGATCTCTTTGATTGTTTCTTCCTTCATTAATTCATGCATTTAATAAATATTGATTAAGGGCCTACTCTGCTCATTGGAGCTTATCTTCTAGCATATTGAATATGTAAAATAAACTTTTGAATTGAAAACTCGTCTAACTGTGACAGAGGCAAAACTTTTAAAATTGAGGTTAAGGTAAATAGTTCGACATTTTCAATTTATTAGTAAAATAACCTTATAGAAATTATGCTTCTGCCTCGTCACCCAAATACGGTGATTTCCATTTGTCTCTGGACTCTTCTGGTATTTACCAACATTGAACATCGTTTGTGCCTCATTATCTCTATAGGGCATAAATAATTTTCATTCCCTTTTTTCCAGTGAAAATTATTTTGTATATACTTTCCCTTGTTTCACAACTTGCATATTTATCACCCTTAATGACTGTAGTAAATTATTTCAAGCTGATCTATAACTTATGCATATCTCCTATGTTGTAAATTTGCCTTGTTTCTAGTTTTACCACTAATATTAGGAAAAAAATTTTAAAGGAAGTATGTATCCGGCTCCTGTGTTAAGGCAGTTTTGACAAATAGTTTCATCTGAAATCGTTCATTCTAAGATACAAAAAAGGTTAGATTCCTTTGAAGAAAACACATTCTGTCTTTTTTTAGGAAAACTTATTTTTTCTTGATTATGTTTTGAGCCTCCATTTATAATGGAAAGATAATTAGTAGAGAAAGACCTGATGTGCTTGGAGCTTTGCCAGCTGAAAACCTTGCATGTATCGTTAGGAAACAGCAGGTTTCCAGTGGGGAATAGTAGAGTAATGGACTGTGCAGCTAAGATATAAGGCTGCAGCGTGACAGCTCCCAACCGCAGCAACTTCACAATCACTCACTTTCCTTGACACAAGTGGACAGTCTTTCAGTTCTTCCGCACTTTCCTGGTGAGAACCACCAGAGGAATACATCACCCTCTGGCAGGAGGCAGTCAGCTCCATCACAGCAGGGAGGACTGATGAGCTGTCTATACCTCTGGACACACCTAGGAATGATTCCACAGCGGTTGCTCAGTCCTCAACGAGGACTCAGGAAAGCAAGAAATGGACATAGTTCTCATTTACAGATCACTGTATCTCACCCCATCCAGAATCTTCTGAGCATCCGGTGCTGAGAGGTGCTTGCCAGGGGTGAGGTGGAAGCTCGTGATCAGTGGGTGGTTTCAGGGATTATTTCTAAAGAGGACACAAATAAAAGATTTGTGACTAACTAACTGGACCTTGGTAGGGTGGAATAACTGAGACATTAATGGTTTGGTAGGCTCTGTTAGAAACTTCAAAGATCCTAGGTAGGGCCCTGACCTCTTCCGTATTAGTTATGTGCCTGTATGGATTAGATGAGGATTTTCTTCATATACAGAATTTTTACCTTACTTTTCCTCCATGAGAGTAGGACCTTGTGTGTCTGGTTTCTTGCTCTATTTTCTGTTGATTAGTATGGAGCTTAGAGGGTAAGAAGTGCTCAATAAATATTTGGTGGTTGGACAATGACTTAAGCTGCATGGTTCTGTAGACTAAAAACATGATCATCTAGGCAGCTGCAATCTATTTGTTTAAAGGATTCTTTCAGATTACTACAGAAATGAGTAGGAGCTAAAGAAACCAAAGCCAGGGAATAGCAGGGTACAAAGGAAAGTACAGTGGCTTTAGAGCCAGGCGGATAAGGGTTCTTATCCCAACTCTACTACTCACTGCTGTCTTCACTTGGTTGACTCATTTATAATCCCTAAATCTGAGCTTTCACACCTATAATGTGTATCAAACCACTTTCCTCGCAGAGTTTGTGGGCACTTCATTGCTCAGAGCGGACACTCAAAAATGTCACCTTCTTCCTCCCTCCCCTGCCAGAAGGGAGACAAAAACAGGAGGGGCCCAGATGATGTGTCCAAGTGTTAGATCTCTGCATTTGTGTTGTCTGTCATTTAAAGTGTGCCACATATTGGCTTCTCTTCATACAGCAGCTAATGGCATGCGTACTTCAAACCGCATATGTACCTTTTGGTTCTGCTTTGAGCCTCTCTATTAGTAACTGTGTTCTTTGTCTTTATAGGATTTATGAGCGTGTGATAGACCCTCCAGATACCAACCTTCCCCCAGGAATCAATTTATGGCTTGGCCAGCGCAACCAAAAGCATGGCTTATTCAAAGTAAGCACTAACGTTCTTTTTATTGAAGTGTATATATAGGCAATGCTCAATTTTTCCGTGTTATTGGAGATGCGTTTATAATTACATTAGTGGGAAGGGCATGGCATAATAACTACTAATGTTTATTGAACACTTACTTTGTGACACATGCTTTTCTATGTGCTTGACATGAATAAACTGGTTTACTTGTCCTAATAATTTATGAAGTAGGCGCTTTGAAACCAGGCAGAGTGTTACGTGACTTGTCCAAGATTATCCAGTTCACTTTGCTGCCAGGTATGGATGATCCAGAATGCAAATGACCTCAAAACGTTGACCTCCCAATTCTGAAGGATTTAGGATAATCTTCAAACTGGTTTCCCTTCTCAGATTATATGTTAATTCAGTTTAGAGTAGATGTCGAGATATGAAAACTAAATCTCTGCTTCCTTGAGCTTTGGTTTAATTGCATTACTGGGAACAGAAAACCAAATACTGCATGTTCTCACTTTTAAGTGGGAGCTAAACATTGAATGCACACGGACACAAAGATGGGAACAATAGACACTGTGGACTACTAGAGGTGGGAAGGAGAGAGGGCGCCATGGGTTGAAAAACTATCTGTTAGGTACCATGCTCACTACCTGAGTGACTGGACCATCCATGCCCTAAACCTCAGCATCACGCAATATACCTGTGTAATAAACCTACATGTGTATCTCCTACATCCGAAAATTTTTAAAAAATAACTGCATTATTATACTTCACAAAAACATGAGGATACAGTGACAAAATAAATTGAAAAACTTAAAAATGCCATGAAATTTTAAGACAGTCTTGTTCTTTAAAAGAATGACACACTTTTGCTTCTGGCAATATGGCAGACCAGATATTCTAAAACTCCTTCTGCTTCAAAATGTCTATAATGCTCGATAAAATATCCCAAAAACCTTTTAAAATTCAGCATTGTACTTATATGAAAGGAATTCCTTGGGGACCAGATATGTGGAGGGGAGAGAAAGCCAGAGGGGTATCAGTACCAGGAACTTAGAGCCTTAGATTCCTTCCTTTTAATTTTTAAAAAATTAAGATGTAATTCTGCATGCTCTCACTCATAGGTGGGAGTTGAACAATGAAAACACGTGGACACAGGGTGGGGAACATCATATACCGGGGCCTGTCAGGGGTTGGCGGCTAGGAGAGGGATAGCATTAGGAGAACTATCTAATGCAAATGACGAGTTGATGGGTGCAGCAAACCAGCATGGCACATGTATACCTAGGTAACAAACCTGCACGTCATGCACATGCACCCTAGAACTTAAAGTATAATTAAAAAAATCCAAAAAGAAATTAAGGTATAATTTACATACAAGAAAATTCATTCCATTTAATGTACAGTGTCACAAGTTTTGGAAAATCTACGCTGTATTATAATCATCATTATAATTGAGATAAAGAACCATTTCTTTACCTCCAAAAATTTCCATCCCCCTTTGTATTCAACCCTTCTCCTCGCCCGAAGCCTTTAGCAACCGCTGGTCTGTTTTCTGACCCTGTAGTTTTGCCTTTACCAGAATATTATATAAATGGAATCATTTATGTGTGTGTGTATATTTACATAAGTTTGTATGTTGAGATTCACCAAGTTGTTATGTGTATCAGTGGTTCATTGTTTTCTATTGCTGAGTTAGTATTCCAGTTCTGTTGTATGAATGTATCATAGTTTGTTTGTCCATTCTTCAGTTGATGGACGTCTGGGTTATTTCCAGTTTGGAACAACTATGAATAGAGCCTCTATAAACATTTGCATACAGGTTTTTGTGTGAACAGAGGTTTTGATTTCACTTAGGTAAGTGTGTGGGTATGGGATTATTGAATTGTATATAAAGGTATGTTTAAATTCACAGGCAACTGCTAAACCATTTTTCAAAGTAGCTGTGCCATTTTTTGCATTCCCACCAGCAATCTATGAAAATTTCAGTTGGAGACTTAAATTTCAACCATCTTTGTAGGATGGGAGGAATTACTTAGATCTCATGCATGAATGAGTGTTGGAATGGAGATTTTTAAAGTAGAGTCAGTCCACTATCTAGCAGAGGGAGGCAATCCAGAAACTATCCTGTCTACATCTCATCTCCAGGTAAGAAAAAATAATACTTCCCAGAGAACTAGTAAACCACAGCACTTGAAGGGTTGCAGACTTGAAACCCAGATTTACTTTACCCATGAAACTCAATAAAGTATATTAAAGTGGCCCTGGCCCTGGATTACATACCTTGGGAGTCCTGATGAAGAAAATACAAATTATCTTTGGAGAAAGTCACTTTTGATGTACACCTCAAAGGATGCCCACAGATTAAGTCCATAAAATAGGAGCTCTAAAGCCATCATGAGTGACAGTGGAAAGAAACAAAAAAGTGCTCAGTTAGTCCTCAGAGGGCTACAGAAAATGAAATTAGCAGATAAGGAATGGTTTTTTAAAAAAATTTTAAAAAAACTTCTGTTTAAAATATTTGAAGAATCAAAATAATAAAGAATGTATTATGACTAGAGACAGTAAGTAGGCCCAGAGATAGTTGAACTAAAAAGCACTTCCAAAAATGAAAGATACAGTTGTTGGAAGTTAAAAAAAAAACAAAAACAACCAAAAACCTCACTGAACCTGCTAAACAGATTAGACACAGGTATGGAGAGCATTTGTGAAATGGAAAATACTGTTAAGGTAATTAATAGTAGTACTTCAGAGATAAAGAGAAGAAAATAGGAAAGAGGTTAAAATATAGCAAAGATATATGTATATAAAAAAATTTACATATCTGTTTAATATGTGTGTATGTGTATGTGTATCTGTATAAAATGGCTATTCTGATGCCTCTGTGTTTTCTAAGTGGCTTCTTAGCTTAGATAGATAGATAGCTTCTTAGATATGTATATTATTATATACATATATTTAAAAATTAAGGAAGATTATAAGGAATATATTATATCTATATATGCATATATGTTTGAAAATTCCAAATAATAAACAGAGATAAAGGTTATGGGTACTATTATAAGTATAATGGGTAAGAATTTTCTAAGCTTGATAAGAGACATTAATTCTCATTACTGAAAGAACAATGAAATAAAAGTATATGTTGTTGATTGCTAGCTAAGAAGCCACTTAGAAAACATAGAGGCATCAGAACAGCCATTTTATTTAGCTCAAAAGCCAATTTTTTTCTGCTTTGACCTGGCTAAGCTGGTACTTGCTGGGCTCTCTCCCATGTCTGTGATTAATTGGCATGCCAGCAGGTGGCAGGATGATCTGAGAGCCTCTTCACCTCTCTAGGGGTTGGCTGGCTGTTGATTCTTGTTCCTCAGTTGTCCTCCACATGGTCTCTCATCTCCAGTGGCCTAGCTCAGCTTATTTACATGTCAGCCCTGGGTTTCCAAGTATAGGAAGAGTGCAATCCCTAAGGTACTAATGCTTTTCAAGTCTTTGTTTGCTTGATCACATTTACTAATGTTTTATTGCCCAAAGCAAATCATATGGCCAAATCCAGAGTCAAAGGGTAAATAAATAGACTTCATCTCTTGAAGGGCTGCTCCATGATATCACATTGCAAGGATGTGGATGCAAGGAGGGAAGAATATTTTTGGCCACATGAGTAACCTATTATACAAATCAAGATAAATAGACAGCCACACTTAGATATATTGGCAGAATAGCGGAACTCCAAAGACACAGAGAAGATCTTAAAAGTAGCCAGTGACAAAACACAAATTTTTCACAAAAGGATAACAAATTGAACAGCTGGCTTTTAACAGTAAAAGCAGAAGTCAAAAGACAGTAGAAAAAGTGTTTTCCAAGTTTTGAGAGAAAATAACTCTCAAATGTAGTAGCATATACCAAGCTTAATTGTCATTTGAGAATGAGTGTGACATAAAGACATTAGTAGAGAAATAAAAACTCAGTTTATGACCAATAGATCTTCATTTTAAAAACTTCTTGGAAAGAAGACATATAGTTCAAGAAGAATTGGAGAGTAAATGCATATTGACAGCATGCACAAATCTCAGTCAGTATTATTCTGAATGATTGCCATTATCATTGTTTGATTAAAATATAACAGTAATGCTTACTTTTAGAAAAATAAAGTTAAAAATATTGACAGTGGAATCCTTCACCAGCAACCAGGATATCCAGGTTCTCTCATCAAAATTGACTAGAAGGCTGGCGTGACTCATGGAGAGAGGGAAGAACAGTGTGGTGCGGCAGCCTACCTGAGAGCCACATGGGAAAGGGGAGCCCCCTCCCCCCAGCCAAGGGAGGCAGATTTCCAGTAACTCCAGCAGAGACTCAGGGACAGAATTCAGATCTCCCCGGGCCCAAGTCCCTAGGGGGAGAGGTGGCCACAGTCTCTGTGGACCAGCAGACTTAGCCTCTTCTCTTGGTAGTTCTGAAGAATCTGGGCAGCCTAGATGACTGGGTTTCCCTCCAGCAAAGCACACCCACTCCACCAATAGACAAAGTGCCTCATGAAACAGGTCCTGCTCCCTGTGCCACCTAACTGAGTGAGACCCTCCAACAGGGATTGTCAGACACCCTATACAAGAGCAATCCTACTGGCATCAGTTTGGTGTCCCTTGAGGCCAGAGGTCCCAGAAGGAGCAGGCATCCATCTTTGCTATTCTCCAGCCTCCTTAGGTGACATCTCCAGGCATGCAGTGAATCAGATGAATAGGGCCTGAAGTGAGTCCCCAGCAAACTGCAGCAGCCCTTCAGAAGAGGGACCTGACTGTTGAAAGAAAAACAAGCAGAAAGTGACAAGAACAGTATCATAATCAACAACAAAAGGCCCCCACAAAAACCCCATCCAAGGGTCAGCAGTCTCAAAACTGAAACTAGACAAACTCACGAAGATAAGAAAGAATCAATGAAAAAATGCAGAAAACCCAAAAGGCCAGAGTGCCTCTTCTCCAAATGATTTCAACATCTCTCCATCAAGGGCACAGATCTGGATGGAGGATTAGATG